AACTGGAAATATATGAATCACAGCAAAGAATTTTAATTATATGACTCGTATATATCAAATGATAATTAAGATTTTAAATGTCTCCATTTCACATTTGAAATAGAGATAACAAATTAAATAAAGTTGCTCAAATTTCTAACTATAGAAAAATAAGAACACTGTAGAAAAGTTTCCACAAATACACCTGATATACAAAAAGCAGTCACTAATGTGGCTCTTTAGATAGTGTAATGCTGTAAGTCCTGTTGAAATTCTATTTGAAATAGCTTTGACTGAAATGGAGAATCAATAATTTATAATGTAAAATCAGTATTGGGTTGGATCTTCTAAAATGAATTCATGAATTTTACTTCATGTAAGGTTATACAAATTTGGAAGTGGCCTTGGGAATTCTTTTTTTTTAATACCAGTTATAATATTGCCCTGCTAAAGAATTTTGGTAAACTGAAGCTGATTAGCAATTATTTAAGATAGTCACTTAGTCAAGAGAAATTGTCAAACATAGCAATTCTTTCAACTGAATATGACTTAAGTAAATACGTGGATCCTGAAAATAGTACTAATGAGTTTGCTTCCATTTTAAGCCAGGAAAGTAAAATTATAGTACATTCTTGTTTTGATATAAATAGAATATTTAAATTTAAAATGGTGTTGTGAGTTTTATACACATACTTTTCAATGCTTTTAAAACTCTTCTAATGTTGTTGGGGAAAATTAACCATTAAACATGCACAAATACATAAACACATTTTCCCTTTTGCATCAGGTTCCCATATGCTTGGCATGGCATGGCAGAGGCTATTTTTTTTTAAGATTTTGATATATTGTCCAGCATGGATTGTTTTTACATAAATTTCAATTTGAAAAAAAATACCTTAAACATTATTAATCTGATTGCTGAGTTTTTGGGCTTCCCTTAAGTTTTGCATACAGAGCAAGTGGCTCATTTGTCTCACCCTGAGTATTGGGATCTTGCTGGTCCTTGTCCCAGGTCACTGCACAGCCTCAGAGCCATGCCTTTGTAAAGAATGCAGTCTTTCCCCCTTACCCATTATTTGCTTTCTGTGGGCTCAGTTTCCTGTGGTCCATCTTGGTCCAAAAATATTAAATGGAAAATTCCAGAAATAGCAATATATATATATATATATTTTAAAGAACTTTCATTACAGTGTATTGTTATAATTATTCTATTTAATTATTATTGTTGTCAATCTCTTACTGTACCTAATTTGTAAATTAAACTTTATCCTAGGTGTGCATGTATAGGAAAAAATCCTGGTCTATATGGGATTGGGTACTATGCATGGCTTCAGGAGTCTACTTGGAACATATCTCTTGGATATGGTCTTGGAACATATCTCTCATGGATAGCGGGGCCTGAGAGTACCTTCATGTTCTTCTCAACTTGCCTAATTTGACTGTGCCTCTGATTCCTGTCCATACAAAAATGTGAATGCACTTACCCAAGGTCACACAGTTGGCACGTAGGTAGGCAAGGTTTTAAACCCACTTCTCAGGGTCTAAAGTGCTTGCCTTTGTGTTATGGCCTCCCTCATGAAAGCAGGACTTGCCTAAAGCATGGCTGTCCAGGGCTCAGGCAGCTCCCTGAGGCACCTGTCCATCCTCTCCAGTCCATAAATGGAGCCTGAGCCAGGCCTGATTCCACAAGCTCTCTCCCAGGCCAGGCACACTGCTGGCTGCTTTCCTTACAAGCAGAAGAGTGACAGAGCCCTGGCTCCACCTGGGAGTCCCCAGGCCTCGGGCAGGCAGACTTCTGGAGAGGTTTTGATGCTGGATTTGCTTTTTTCTTTTCCAAGTCATCCTCTAATTGAAAACGACTCCATGCAGCTGTCAGCCTGGAGGACTTGAGTGTCTGCACCCCAGCCTGTGCCAATTGCAAGATCCCGTTTGTGATGACCTCCAGCAATAAGTCCAGGAAGACATTAACTACTGTTTACTTGTGCCTGACAGAAGGCGCTGGAGAGTGCAGGCCTTGGGGGCTCCTGAGGCTGGAAGTGCTCCTAGGGAGCCAGAGACCCACACACTAGGAGCTTGTTCACAGATATGGAGAAGTCCCACCCGGCCTGTGGGGGTGGGGGTGTGGGGGGAGGACAGCCTGAGCCGAGGAGGAGCCTGGAATGCGGTTCTCCTCCCCTGCTGCAGGAGCTAAAAACACCAAGTGCAGGAGTCTTGCTTCAAAAGTCATCAACAGAATGACTTTCTTTAGTTGCAATTTCTGAGCAGAATTTACCCTCTCTACAAGACAGCAAAGACTGGCTTACCTTTCCTAGACCTCATTGGCAAAATGGAAAGTAACTCTTGTACCCACCTCTTAGGTTGGGGTGGGGAAGAGATGATTTTGCCCAATTTAAAGAAGAAAAACAAATGCTCAGAGAAAAGTGAATTGTCCAAAGTCAAATAGTGTTATGATTATTAGGGCTCCAATGGAATTTAATTTACATTTTTCTGACTTCTAAGATTAATGTTGTTTGAGCTGTGCTATGGATTTGCCCATTCACTTAATGATTATTTGACAAAATGAGATATTTTAAAATGTTAGGACTATTAATGTGAATGTTTAGGTATTCATTCCACAACTATTAATTATTCAGATGCTCAGAGAAGAGTACTATTCAAAGTATATGGTAGCACATAAGACAGCCAAGACCTCTGCACTCAGGCAGCTCAAAACCAGCAACAAAGAAGATAAACAAATGCTCAGTATAATATAAGGCAGTTGGAAGCACTGTGAAGGAAAGTAGAGCAGGGTAAAGAGAGAGAGAGGAAAGGATGTCAAGGGAGGAAGCATAGGGAAATGGTGATGGTGGCTATTTTAGCTGTGGAGGACAAAGAAGTTCTTTATAGAGTTGGAATTTGAGCAGAGATTAGAATGTCATGAAATAATGATCCACAAGACAATCTGGGTCTGGAAGGTCACAGGCAGAGGGTATGCCTACATGATATAATTTTACCTTCTATACCCTGAAAAACAAAATTACATTATACAGACAATTACTTGTATGCCTTTATACATGGGGCTGAACTTAGGGAAGTTGTATTTTAAGAAATAAATGAGGGAATGCAGAGCAAGTGTAAATGACCTACCTGTGTTAGAAATGTTTGCTGGATTCAAGGTGAAGCGATGCTGTCACTGTGACTAGAGGTGGGTTAGAGAGGTGACTCAGCAGGCCAGGTCATCTGGGGCCTGGCAGGCGCTGATGAAAAGTTTGCATTTTATTTTAAATGTGATGAGAAGCCATTGGAGGTTTTTTGAATTGATAATTAACATCATCTGATGTGTGTTTGAACAGGATCTTGCTGACTACTGATTAGGATAGAAGGTAGGGGAGAAGGAAGAATGGGAGAAGAAAAACTAGTCATGAAATTTTTGCAAAAGCAGAGGTGGGAGGTATTGATGGGTCGCACTGGGGTGGTGCTGGGAGTGCTGGTGTGCGCTGGGTAGCACTGTCCATACTGTAAGGGCAAAGCTACAGGAGGCACAGTGGGAAAGACATGCTCTAATGCCAGGTGAACGGAGGTGTGCCAGTCAGTTTCCCACTACTGTGACAATGGATTTAAGAGGAAAGATTTATTCTGGCTCATGGCCTCAGGAGTGTGGGTCCCTGCTCACTTGGCCTTGCGGCTTTGGGCCAGGGGGGAGGCAGCCCATTATGACTGAGGGCATGGTAGAGAAGGCTTGTCCACCTAGTGGTGGCTAGGAAGCAAAGATTGATGGGAAGCAGCAGGGGTCTCCCTCCCCCTTTAAGGATGTGACCCCAATGACCTAACTTCCTCCCACTAGTCTCCACCTCCTAAAGATTCCACCACTTCCCATCAACTTCTGTGGACCAAGTCTCTCTCATACAGGCTCTTGGGGGACATTTCTGATTTAACTACGGAAGAAGGGTGAAGCTGTGGGAGGATGGGGTGGGGAAAGAATGGGAACTAGGAGTTTAGCTTTGAATATTATCAGCATTTCCAAAGAGAAATGCTATTTGAGGAAATTTTGAAGAACTAGCAACTCAGAAGTAAGAGTCAGATCTTTGCCATTGATCATTTAAATTGTTGGTCATTGATTTGTCTGACTTCAGCTCCAGCCTTTTAGAGGAAACAACTAAACCCACATCTAATAGTTGATTGGCACATGCTCCTCGTGTTTTCCGGCACCTTTGGGAAGATGAACAAGAAAGACACTTGAGGACAGGCACTCATTATTGTATCCTTTTCAGCATGAGGCTTAGCCTAGTGCCTGCCAAAGCCATAACACAACTCTCATCAATGTGAACTTATCAGAGGGAAACGGAGCGCTCGCACAAGAACAGGGTCAACCTCAGCAAACTCTTAAGATGTGGATGTACCTTAGGTCTCCAGCTCCCTGCCCACCTGCTTCCAGGGACCCCACGGAGGCCTCTGCTGAAACACTCTCCAGGTCTCCATCCTCAGAGTCCTCTCCCAGGTATAAAAGGTCATCCCTGCACCTGCTCTCCACTCTGCCAGATGGCTCCTGCCCGGGGGTGGGAGGTGGGATGAGAGCTCACCTCTCTGGGATGTAGAAGGCATGTTGTTATTCAAAGGACTGATTTTCTGGTCATAAGTTCAGATACCACGTCAAGCCCGGTTGCTGATACTTTATGTCACCCAGCTTTTAAGAGATTCTGAAAATAAAATTATATCATGTAGGTGATGGTTTGTATGCCTTTGTATGTAGGTGCTGTAGTTTGGATCTTAAATGTCCCTGAAAGGTCCCTGTGTTAGAGGCTTGTTCCTAGTCAGTGGCACTATTGGGAGGTGGTGGAGGTTTTAAAAGGTACGGCCTAATGGGAAGAAGTTAGGTGATTGGGGAAGTATTCTTGAGGCGATATTGGTACTCCAGCCCTTCCTCTTTCTTTTTTTTTTTGCATTTGCTGGCCACTATGAGGTGAGCAGCTTCCTCCCCCGTGCTCTCCTAGATTATGTGCTGCCTTAGCACAGGCCCAAAAGCAACAGGACCAACGACTAACATCTAAAACCATCAAAACTATGAACCAAAATAAACCTTGCATCTTAAGCTGATTAGCTCAGGTATTTTGTTATAGTAACAGAAAGCTAGCATAATGGACTTACAGGAAGAAAGTTGCACTTTTAAGAAATAACTTAGGCAGTGCAAAAGCAAGAAGAACCAACATGTGCAATGATACTCAAGGATGTATAATAAGGGAGGACCAGGATACCTGTGAGGAAGATCCAGAGTATATCATCAATTAGGTACAGCTGCATAACAAACTATTCCAAAACAACCACTTATCATTATACACAAGACAGCATGGTCAGCTGCACCATTCTGCTGATGTGAAGCAAAAAAAGTGGACAATCCTGAACCAGGCTTCATTGGTCTAGGTGGCTCTTCTGCTCTTGATTGGGATTCACTCACATATGTCTGATCCTTGGTAGGCTGGTGGCTGTTGAGTACTCTAGAATGGCCACGGCTGGGCCAGCTAGCATTGTTCTGTATGTCTCATCCCCCCCAACAGGCTAGTTAGAGGGGTCCAAGAGAAATAGAAGGGTTGCACAGGGCCTCTTGAAATTTGGGCCTAAAACTTACAATGATACTTTGAGTACATTCTTTTAATCAAAGAAGCCACAAAACCAGTCCAAGTTGAAGAAGGAGGGGAATAGGTTCTACTTCGTGATGGGAGAAGTGTGAACTCATATTGCAAGGGACTCGGTCACGGGGTGGGGTAGAGAACTGGGGCCATATTTGCATTCCATTTACTCCGGGAGACAACTTGGCTTTTTGTCTTCTGTCACACAGGGTCCTCATGATGCATGGTAGATGGTAGTGACATACTCCAGGGGAAGGACAGCCCCAGGGTGTAAGCAGATAGGGGCATGGGCACCAGGAAAGAGGCTTTCTACTTCCGGCAGTCCCCAGGAATTCTCCACTCTAGGGCTTCTCATCAGAGGATCAGCCCCTTTGCGGATGCCACCTGGGTGTGGGCATCAGAAGCTCCCAGTTTTCTCCAGCTGACATGGGTCTGGACATCACTCAACACCATCTCTGCCCTTTGCAGAAAACAGAAACCCAGAGAAGAGAAATGACTCATTCAAGGTCAAACAGTTTCTCTTGGTTCCAGGAAAATCTAGATATGTGAAGACTCGGGAATAGTTTTCTTTTTCACTTTCAAAAAGCAGAATGACAACCCTTTCCAAAAACAAAGCATAATGTCAAAATTACTAGGTTATAAAAAAAAATATTTTAGAAATGAGAACAGGATTTCAGAACTGCATGAAGTAGAGATGTAATTTACAAAGGAATCAAACACTGAGGTCAGAGGTCAGACCATTAAAGGGTCTCCAAGCTGCCTGGCAGCAACCATAGTGGAGTTTGGTTTCAAGGCTTTTGACTATGATCAGGTTATCCTCGTAGGAAAAAAAATATTGGCATTATTTTTCTTTGCTGATTTAGATTTCTGTCCTCAGCCTCCCTTCTATTCCACCACTGTATATTTTCTCCATCTCTTCGTCAAAGAAAATGCCTAAGCTGGGACTTTAACGCCATTTTTTTATTCAACATAACATCTATTTGTGGAATGCTTGCTATAGGCTGGGTGATCTTCTAGGTGCTGGTAGATGTAAAACAAAAAGAATGGACACAATCCTTGCTCTCAAGGAGCTTGAATGCTCATGACCAATCAAAAGGTGCAAGATATCAGGGCAAGAGAACGGCCAGGAGAGGGTGAAGCAGGACAGAAGCCAGCCATGCAGTGGCGGGCTGACCATTCTAACCTGGCTGAAAGGTGCCCTGAGGAGGTGACCTGCAAAGTGGCCACCTGAAAGAAAGAGCATTCAAGGCAGACAGACCAGCTGGTGTGAGGCAGAGCCCTGTACACCTGCAGCAGGACCTAACTTGTCACCTCTAACACATTGCAGGTTTTGCTCTCCAAACAAAGAGTTTCTTAAAACATTTTTTCCTATTGGAAAACAGACTGTCAAAGTTGGCTCAGAAACCATTTGCACGGCTGTCAGGGGAATAAACACGCAGGCCCTTGTGTCTCCATAGCCTTTAGAGGAGCCAGCGCCCTGGTGTGTGGGGCAAGAAAGATGTGAACCCTGGAACCGCATCCAATTTCCCCAAAACCCAGGTAACAAGATCTCACAGACTTGACAAGCAGGCCCCCTCCCCACTTCCCTCTGGCTTCCCTTCCTTCCCCGCTCGCCATGTCCCTGCCCCCTGGAATTCATGGGCAGAACAGCTGCACGGGGGGCTCAGTTTTCAATGAAACAATAAAATACTCCTGCGTGTCCTTAAGGGTATGGCATTTATGACTGGGGTGGGCCGGCTTCCTTGCACAGACACCCCCTCCCCAATTCCCAGGCTCACCAGTCCAGACGCTCACATGTCCCACAGCCTGTCCTTAAGTCTCTGGGAACTTGCAGCATGGGTGCTTCAAGATGTCCCTGCTCAACATGGTAGTACAGAAAAGGACATGCACACCCAGTGTCCAGGAGCAACTTGGCCGAGGGCATACAAAATCACATTCGTGTTGTGGGCCATCTGCTCACACCCTTCCTGACACCTTGCCCTCTGCAGAACCCTCACTTCCCCACCCCATACGCTCAGCTGCCTGAGTGAGTGAGCTGTCTGCTCTCTTGTTCAAAGGCAGGGAAGCCCTCTCTGGCTAAGAGAGTAAAGCAAGCAGGCGTGGTCCACATTCCCATCAGGTCTGCATCCACCCTGCCCCCTCTGCCTTCAAGCTCTTCTCTAAGGCACCAAGAAGTCCCAGACTTCATAAGTTTCCCATTTGCACAGAATGCACGTTTGGACATTGAAGGCAGATACCCCTGGACTTCCTTCCAAGTGCCAGATTGGAACACCCATGCCTAAGGGGCCAAACATTGCCAGCTTCCACGTGGGGGCGCAGCGTGCCAGCCCACGCTTCAGCCTCAGTGGTCACCCTCCATCTCCAGCACAGAGTATGTACAGTTGTTTTGCACATTTCATCTAATTTTGGCCTTATTGCTTTATAAAAATGAGTAGGAGACTAGGGTAGAAAGCACAGATCGTATTAGCATAATATAAAATGAGAAAAAGATAGGAGTTAATAGGCACGCCCAAAGAAGATTCAAGAAGCCACATTCAGATGCTCACCAGAATTAAGATGATTGACTGTTCCAATGTATGCCAGACACGTTCCTGCCTCCTGAGACACGTTCCTGCCTCCTGCCTCCGGCCCTCTACCCAGAATGCTCTTCCCCTGGATTTCCACATGGCTTATTCCCTCACCTCCTTTCCAAGTCATTGCTCAAAACTCAGCATTACCAGTGAGGGTTTTCCTGATAAAAACGTCAACCTGTACTCCACCCTCCATCTACATTTAGGATTCGCTATACTTGCTTTCCCCCCCCCCCTCTTTCTCTCCCCTATACCCTCCTTACCATGGTGCTTATCACGATCTAGCAGATCCTACACATTCATCGCATGAACTTTTTATTGCCCATCCCCCTCCATTACTAGAATGTAGACTACATGATAAATAGATCCCAGACACTTAGAATGGTACCTTGAGTCTAGGAAGTGCTCGTTAAACATCTGTTGAATGTGAATGTGGAATTGTTGCAGAAATAAACAAATATATTCAATATATGGGTAGTAATTACAACAATCATGTATTGGTATGAATTCAATTTTACAATTTCTTTTCTATCCCTGGGAAAATATATCCCTATGCCATTTAAGTCAATGACTGTGCTTTTGAACATCGGATTTTGGTGCACAATTTCAGAAATACACCATACCTAATAATAGGGGACAGGTTTTCAATAAGCTGAGCCCCGAGTTTGAGGAGGCACAGGGTACTGGCCAGGCCCAAGACTGGAAGATAAAAGCTGGGAGACTTCTGGGATGCAGCAATGGGACCTGTCCTTCTGGTGGTGAACGTTTGCCTATCTTGGGCCAAGTTTTACAGCAGACTCCTGCCAGTCATGGATGGCCTGGGAAATGTAGCCAGGGCTAGGGTGGAATAGTCAGTAGGGGTTTGCTAGTTGGCCCTTTGTGGCAGGTAAAGCTGCTTCATTCACTCAGCCAGGAAGGAGCCGGGGCTGAGTCACGGGCAGGAAGCTTTCTGTTTTAGTCAGCTTTTCTTGCTGCTGTGACTAAAGGATCTGACCAGAACAATTGTAGAGAAGGAAAAGTTTATTTGGAGGCTCAGGATTTCAGAAGTCTCAATCCACAGATAGCAGGCTCCATTCCTTGGGACTCAAAGTGAGGTAGAACATCATGGTGGAAGAGTGTGGTGGAGAGAAGCAGCTCACATGATGATCAGAAGCAGAGAGAGGGGTCTCCACTTGCCACGCCCCCAATTCCTACCTCCTCCAGCCTCACCCCATCACCTCAGTTACCACTCAGTTTATCAGGTGATTAATTCACTGATTGGGTTAAGACTCTCACAATCCAATCATTTCTCCTCTCAACCTTCCTGCATTGTCTCACATGTGAGCTTTTGGGGGACACCTCACATCCAAACCATAACACCCTCATTGATGGGAAACAAGAAGACAGGAGGCTGTCCTGCCAGGCCAGAGGAGCAGAGTGGGCATCTCTCAGTGAAGCTCTGCGGGAAGGCAAGGGGAGGAGGCCCTGGCACAGGGACAAACTTTGCCCTGATTTTCTGGATGAAACCCTTAACAAACACATGAATGA